AATATGCTTCAAGGGAATTGAAGTAATTGATGGAATTTATTCAATTATTGATATATATATATATATGTATGAGAATTTAATGATAACAAAAAACAAGTAAAATTAACATATTATGGAGTACCCCTTGTATTCCATATAAATTTAATACATTTAATTTGCTGATAAAAAAAAAACATATTATGGATAAAAATTGGTGATATGATATGGAGGACATGTTTTAAAAGAAAGAAAGAAAAAAAAAAAAAAGAGGCTAAGAGGTCTAGAGGAGAGGTGCGTGGATCATCAAAGGATAGTGTAGCACTGCAGGAGAAGGCATGGGAGGATGCAAGAGAAGAGAATTGCAAAACGCATGGAGATGGTTGACGATGAGGTATATATAGAACTTTTAACAACATAAACTATGTTGCTGAAAGTTTACCATCTTATAAGCATCATGTTCCATGTTGTTAAAATATATTTGAATTTCAAATCCACTACTCATCATTGACGTGCATCATGTTGCTAAAACTTAAAATCACAAATTCTCCTGCTATACTGCTGAATGATTAAAATTATTATATTTTAATTAATTCTTAATCTTTAAAATTCATTTTTATATCTAAAATTTAATTTATTAGTTGGTTTTTTTAATCTATTAAATTTTATTTAACATTTGACAAATTAATTAATATAATTACATTATTTATTAACATATTTAAATAATTTAAAGCTCTATTTTATCTAAAAAAAAATATGTGAACATGCATATGAGCCTACATAAACATTTCATATAAAGTTATTGCAATTTTTTGCTAATAGTCAACTTTTTAAATTAAGAGTCAACTCTTTTCCCATAAGAGTCGACTCTCAATAAAAAAAAAGTCGACTGTACCCAACACTCAAAACTTTCTCAATTTTCTGGAATTTGAGAGTTAAATGTTGTCCCTCTATAGTCGACTCTTGAAGACTTGAGAGTTGAATCTAAATTCTTAGATTTGATTCTTTATTGCTAGAGAGTCAACTCTCCACATGGAGAGTCAACTCTAACCTGCAGCAAGATTTCATAAAATGGAAGTTTCAACTCTATTTTATCCATATTTGAAAGGAAGCATTTTATTATTCCCACAAGAAATCAATGATTTTATTTTGGCCCATTTATCAGACCTAGTCACATGGTAATTATAAAGGTCACTTGATGTAAATTAAAGTTTTAATGAGGAGTTAATATATACTTATATAAAATTAGGATTGTCATCATTTTATAATTGAAATTTATCATAATTTTTTAAGTAAAAAAATCATTTATCTTTAAGAATGAAATAAAAAGTTAATAGATTTTGATTATTCATAATAAAAAAATTAAGATTTTATTTAAATAATGTAGATAAAAAACTTATAACTCTTTTATAATTATTTAAATTTACTTTTAACAACATGACCCTTGTTGCTGAAAGTTGAGCTCAATTTTTGGAGGCATTGGGTACTATATAGGTATCAATAACATGGTCCTTATTGTTGAAATTCACTTTCAACAACATACCTCTTGTTGTTGAAAGTTGAGCTCACTTTTTGGGGGATTGAGTACTGTATAGGTATTGGCAATTTGAACCTTGTCGGTGAAAATCTATATCATTGACAAGTAAATCATGTTACTGATAGTTTGTTGTTAAAAAAAAGGATTTTAGTAGTGTTGATAGAGTTTCATGATAAAATATTACTACCAAATTATTGTATATTTTCTCATAATTACTCCTGTGGTGAGTAGAAGTGCCATTTGAAATACACACCAACTGCTTGATGAAATGCTTTAGAGAGTTGTGCAGTCTTACTATGATTTTCTAGGTTTTTGAGATATCAACATAGGGTGCGTTTGGGCAATTGGGCTAGGGGTTTTGCTAGAAACATTGGCCATTCTTCGAGCCTAGCGGCTGAAATCTGGGGCATTAGAGACAGCCTCCTAGTGGCTAGAAATCTCACCATTCAGAGCTTAATTATTGAAATGGATTCTTTAGTTGCTTTTCAACTCCTTTCTAGGGAACCTAATGCTAACCACCCTCTAATGGCTTTGATTATGGATTGCAGATAAAATCTTGGTAGCAATACCTCAAACTTGCTTGCAATTTGTGTTTACAAAGACTAACATGTGTACTGATCACCAAGCTACCATGACCCATTCTCTTTTTAATGAACATGCTCATATTGATGCTTGTCCTTCTGGGATTTTATTGTATTTTAATGCTAACATAATGGGAATTGTGTTTCCAAATGAACTAGTATTTGTAATATTTGCAGTTTATCAATGACGTAATGCATCCATTTCTACCCCCAAAAAAAGGGTGTCTCTTGAGTTATTTAAATTGCATTTGAGGACTTGTATTCATAAAGTTGCAAAGGGTTACGTTGCACCCGTAGAGGCCTCCTATAAGGAACATTTCTTTGCTTTTATATATATAAAAATTCTCGTAGTTGGTAGATTCCTTGTATTTGCAAGTTTAATGGTGTGAGCAATAAATTTTTAATTTGAATAATATTATGATATCTGTGGATAGAATAAATTGATAAGTATGAAATGTTTGTCTTTTATAATGTGATTTAAAATAAAAATAAAAACTTAATTGTGTGAGCATAAAAATGAGGGAAAATCCTTCTTGCCCCAAACTTTTTCACACCTATTCCGAGTTCGAGCTCGAGTTTCTAGCCATTTACACGTGTGGTTGAAGTTTTTTTTTTTTTTGTTAAATAAAGTGAAGACATCTCTAATAATATAAAATTTAAACTTTAAATTTGGTGTTTTTTTTATTTTTAAAAGATAAATATTAAAATTATCAATATAATTATTATTTTAAAAAAAAAACTCGAACCTGACATATTACATGTTGTCCACAAGTACAACCATAAAAAGATATATTTCCATATTAAATTGTCAATTTTTTTCGTTTATAATCAAACCATTCTTTAGCTTAGCTCAAAACAAATCCATTGTCAGGTTAGCACATCTCAACGTCATGTTAGTATAGAAAGATTTAGGTTTTTAAGATAAATTATGTATTAAAAATATAATTGATTTTTATAAAATTATTAAATATTTAAATAAAATAATATAAAAATAATTTTATTAAAAATATTTAAGTAAATTTATAAAATATACTATATTTTTAATATATAATTTACTTTAAAAAATATATTTTCTAATAAAAATTATTTTTTTTAATATTTATCTCAAACTTAGATATTAAATCTAATTCAGAAGATTGTGACTTATTCATCCTTCGTACATGATATATTAAATACTCAATCAATTAACATATATGCCAAGGCCACCTTCTGACCTCTGTAAAAATCTGAGAAGTAAATGAAAGAGAGGCACGAAACCCAACGCAGCCATAGCAAAACAGATGCGGATTCAGATTCAGAGCTGAGAATATAAGACGAGAAGAGCTTTGTAAAACTTTCTTGAACTTTGGGCTTCGTTTTAAACCTTTTCTCCTTCCCCTCCCCACCCCCATCCCAACCCAACCGTCTCCCTCAGACAGGAACAAGACCGCACATTTTCACAGAGGAGAAATATAACCCTTGCTCTGTTGGATTTGGGTTTTTCTTTTGTTTCCTTGCAACAACATGAGTAATTGGCTGGGTTTTTCCTTGACTCCACACCTGAGAATTAATGAGGGGTTTAGCAGGGAAGAACAATCTGCAGGCTTCTCTGCTATGCCGTTGCGCTCCGATGGCTCTCTCTGTGTCGTCGACCCTTTCCGACGCCCCTCTAATGAGGCCACTGGAGGTGAAGGTACTTCTCTTTTATAACGTTCTCCATGCATGTTCCTTTTTCTTTCCAGATTAATATATTTATCCTAATTCTTCTTAAAATCTTGTAGCTTGGAGGTATGAGAATGGTGGGACTAACGACGCTCCAAAGCTTGAAGATTTTCTTGGATGTTGTTACTCCAACTCTCCAAATGATCAAGATCATCACCAAAATCAACCCAATATTGTTTGTTCCAGAATCAACGTTAATGTGCCGCCGAGCTTCAACTCCAATGTAGAGATGGAGCCAGGAGAGAATTTCCCGAACCCTTCTTTGATTATCCAATCGTATGACTACGGTGAACCCCCACAAACCCTAATCGCGGGCCCCGACCACAACCAGAACATGTACTTGGGTTATGATCAGAGTGCAAGTTCGGTTTCTGGGTTCAGGTCCTGGTTGAGACAAACCCCCTTTTCCGGTGAGAAACCAGCTGATGAACGTAATGACGGTCGCTTCCAGTCGTTGTCTCTGACCATGAGCCAGAGCTCACAAAATGGGATGGCGGTGGCTGCACCGTTGCAAGGAGATGATACTCGGAAACGGTCTGTGGGTAAGAGCCAAACTAAAGATCCAGTTCCTCGGAAATCCATTGATACTTTTGGGCAAAGAACTTCTCAATATCGTGGGGTCACAAGGTATGAAACACTAAAACATATACATAAATATGAATATCTATATCACTATTTCTGTAAAACAAACTTCAGCAACTACGCCTGCAACTCATAATTGGAGTTTTATTCTTGCAAATCCTAAAGTTTTCCAAAAAAGAGGACATACTGAACATCTTCTTTATCCTTAAATGTGTTTATATTCAGGGATTTGTAAATTACTCTTGTTGTTTTGGAATGAAAATAGGCATAGATGGACTGGGAGATATGAAGCTCATTTGTGGGATAACAGCTGTAGAAAAGAGGGACAAACAAGGAAAGGAAGGCAAGGTATCTATGAGGAGAATCAGCATTGACTTTTATTAATTCTTAGAAGCATTTTTTACATTTTTCATTTTGGTTGGTTGAAGGTTGGTGGAAAGAATATACTAATCGATTATGTTTCATTCACTTTGTTTTTTTTGGGTTTCTCACTGCTGCAAAATTCTCTACAGTTTATCTTGGTAAGTGAAATTTTCCATTTTCGTTTGTTTCTTCTTTATTATTATTATTATCTTCTAGGCCTAATTTGTTCTCTTTTCTTTTTCCATTCTTTCAATGATATGATCCTTCTTGTTTAAAATGTTGAACAGGTGGATATGATAAAGAAGAGAAAGCTGCAAAAGCTTATGACTTAGCTGCTTTGAAGTATTGGGGTCCAACAACCCATATAAATTTTCCCGTGAGTTTGAGTTTTGGGTTTGAACATAGTGTTTTTTAAGCAGTTTTTTCAAAAGTAGTTAATCTTACCAAACTGTCTTTTCAGTTAAGTGCTTATGAGAAGGAACTTGAGGAAATGAAGAACATGACAAGGCAGGAATTTGTTGCCCATTTGAGAAGGTATAAAAACATCCATCAAACTTTTTCTCTAAACTACATTTTTATTAATATAAATGCAACCCCAAAGAAAGCTATGAAATTGATGCAAATGTTGCTGTTTTTGGCAGGAAAAGCAGTGGGTTTTCAAGAGGAGCTTCAGTGTACAGAGGAGTGACAAGGTAATGGAGGAGTAAGGGACTTAGAATGATAAAGTTTTTCCATTTTTATCTCATTTTGCAGCCTTTTCCCAACTATGATAGACAATAATAGGCAAACATTATTATTCACATTCAAATGTGGTCTAGGTACATTATTAGAGTCCATCCAACTTTTGTATCTATCCATCTTTCCATTTTTGTGTAAGCTGTTTTCTTTATCTTGGATAGGCACCATCAGCACGGAAGGTGGCAAGCCAGGATTGGAAGAGTTGCTGGAAACAAGGACCTGTACCTTGGGACATTTAGTAAGCTTCACTCCATATATATAACTTGGCCATTTATGTTTTACTTTCAAGATACACATAATTGATGGTATAATTAATTGTATATTCATAGGCACACAAGAGGAAGCGGCTGAAGCTTATGATATTGCCGCGATTAAGTTCAGGGGGACAAGTGCTGTGACCAATTTTGATATTAGTAGGTATGATGTGAAGAGAATTTGTTCAAGCTCAACCCTCATTGCTGGAGACCTTGCCAAACGCTCCCCAAAGGATTCCGTGCCAATCGCTGTTGAGGACTATAATTCTGGTGCTTCATCCACTTCTTCCCAACCGATCCTGGCTATAACAAATGGTGAAGTGTCTGGTACTGAATTGGCTGATATGGTATGGAGTGCAAATTCGGATGATCACCAACATGTACAGCATCAAAATGTCAATGCTGAGAATGATGCGTTCCTGGTTGGTTCCAGCAGTAGGAATTCATCCAGCCCTCAGAGTCCAAAATGCTCGGTGGGATTAGCTAGCGAACAGCAGTTTGGTATTGGTGGAGACTACTCACAGCAGGGTTACTTTTCATTGCAGGGTGCCAAGTATGAAGAAGGCAGTAATGGGAGCAATAGCCGGCTAGGGAACTTGAATTTGGTTCATCAAGTGCCTGTGTTTGCACTCTGGAACGAGTAAGAAACGTTAATTAGTCGTGGATTTTGAGAAGGTTACGGCTTTGATGACATAAAGAAAATTTTCAATGTAGAAATCTAGCTATATCCAGACTGATATATGTTCCATGGAACTATGTATTTAACATATTAATCTTAGATGTTTATTAAAGTAGGTCATTTACCTTTTTTGTTCTTGGGTTGCACGAGGTCACATTCTCCCATTCCTTTGTTAGTTACTTAGATTGTTATCAAATATGATGGATAAATTGCAGCTTAATAACAAATTTTAAATGCAGAAATTACAGCAGTAATTAAATGCAACTAGTTGATAACATTATGATTGAATTGAAATTCATTAACTATAATTT